CCCGCGGTTGGGATCGTTTGGGTTTTGGACACCGTTCAAAGAGATGAAAAGAGATGAACCAAAACAGAAAAAGTACTGAATCCGAAACGACTTCAGCTTACGAATCGCCCTATATTATATTACATGACATTTAAACACCTCCGACCCTTTGCAGTGCTTTTCGTACATGCACTACTCACATCATGGATCTATACTATGGTCTATACATGTAATGTAATTATTCCAATATCTACAATGTAATTATTCCAATATCAACAAACATGTGCTGAAACTGAGGATGCGCCGACGCACCTGAGGCTGCCTTCAGCCCAGCATCAGCGCGCCGCTTTTGCCTCCTTCTGGCCGAGCCTTCACTGGATTCCTGCGACAGCTGGTCACCCTCCCAGTTTGCACACTTTGACACCTCCGGCTACCGGGTTACCGAAGACCGAATCGTTCTTGGTCTCAAACTCGACAAAAAAATGCCATCACCGGCCAAAATGACCAAGCTTCCCAGGTCTGTCCCCCACCTCATCACTGTAGCTCTCCTGTTGCCTGAGAAGCAAAACCAAAGTAAGATGCCGAGAATACTGGTAGTGCCAAGTAAGTGCATTGTCAACATACCCCAAAATTATCACTTCAGAACATGAGGACATTTTGTGGAACACTGTTGTCACACAGCTAGGATTTTCTGTTCCAGATCCTCATTGTTCTTCCGGCCTTTCCTTCTCCTTGACTTTTGCTTTGCTCTTGCCTTGGTGATCTAGCATGTCGAAAAACAAACCATGGTGTCAGGACCACTTGCTTTGGTGACAAGCCTACCTCTCCATCGGCCTTCTTGAGGCGGAACAAGGCCATTGGGAGGGTCGGAACATATCCAGTGACGGGGCGGAACCCTCACGACTATATAAATTCCACTGATGGAGCACGAAGAACATCCGTGGTTTTTAACCATATTAAACCATACGTCACAACAGCACCTTACAAACAGTAGTGCAAAGTCTTATGTCGATCTAAAGGCCCATCATGAAGCTCGGAACATAGAAATTAACAATAACAACTGTACTGTACTGAATATTGGCCCAAAAGCCTTTCTCCTTCTCCTTTCCATCCTTTGCCTATTGATGGAAGGCAAGCAAAAGCCAATGAGTCAGCGACGACTCCACAGCAATCACATGCAAATCATTGCTGCAACACCTAAACAAGCTACGAAAATGTTCCGACACCTTGGCTTTCTCAGCTTTCTCCACCCTCTCTTCCTCCTTACCTCAATACCAGCTCCAGCAGCTGTGGCTGCGATTCGAGTTGTGATCACACCCAGTAATTACGGTGGATTCTACCACGAAGCAACGGAGCTTGACACAAGCCATGACTCTCATTCTGCCCACCCCAGAAATCCTTCTCGCAAATATCAACCAAACGCCCTCTGCGACTTGCATACTCCAAGAAAGCCCCGTCTTAGGAGAATGAAGAATGGCATCGGCATTAGAAAACAATATAAAACAGTGTAGAAACAACCACGCCAGACTGGCAGGGTATGCCAAATGTCCAGCAAAGTGTTGCACCTTCCAAATCCAAATCAACGACTCTGCGCCCAGTTGCCCTTGTCTCGACTTCGGCTCCGATCAGCTTGGCCAAGCTTCCTCGGGCTGAGTAAAGCATGTGACCTCTTCAACGGGTGAACAACATCTGACAACACGGTCTCTTGCGTTTGAGACAGCCGAGAAACGCCCACCACTTCAACAGTTGTCAAGTCGTGAACACATCCACACTGGCGTGCAACATGCGCTGACCAAAAAGAAAAGCTCAACAAAAAATAGTTCTGGATTGGTGGGTGGGAGAATTCCAAACCCAAGCAAAACGTGCTCTCGAACGCATCGAATGCATCCAAGCATCTTGGAGCTCTTCGTGGCTCGGCCTTAGGAACTGACAACCCCATCCATCCCACACATTCTAGGCCTTTCAGCCGTGCCATGCTCGACGGACCCAGCGGACCCAGGCGACCCGGCCATTCTTCGGAGCTTCGTCTTCATCCAAAGCCTCGTACAAATCGGAGGCGACGGTTCTGGCGAACAGAATTGGACCCACAGAGGATGTTGTCCAGTTCTTTTTTTTGAGAGGAAGAACAGGAAGGAGCCATCAAAGCTGTGTCATTGGGCCTAAAGCATCAGTGAGACTCATCCATCTGTCTCACCACTGGCCTCCGCTGCACAAGCGCCCTTGGGCTTACTTCGTGGAGCCTCAACGGTGTGAAACCACGTGACGTTTCTTGCAGCAAAGCGCTGAAGCGGCCCGCCTCTTCCACCTCCACCACGCCCTGCAAAGAAATTCCACTCAAGCCAAACATGACTCACTGATGCTAGTCACCTAGTCAATCCACGTCAATCCCCTCCCATGCCACTGTGGCATGTTTTATGGGATGTTCGAACGAGCGAGAGAGAGAGAGAGAGAGATGCCTTCTGCATCCCCAATTTTGTCATCCATCCACACAACAAATGCCAACAAAGTTCTTGCGATAGTTTTCTGGCAAGCCTCCTGCATGGTCCGAGGGTCATCATCATCCTGGACTGTTTCGATTTCCACAGCCGCAATGCAAAAGGCTCAAACACTGCAAACGAAGTGGCCAGGTCGTCCACGGGCTCTGGCTCTTTGGCTTTCACGACCTTCTCTTCCTGCAAAAACTTTTTGAGGAGCGCAACGAGATTCGACAAAGCAGTGTGCCAACGGAGAAGCACGTGTGCAAGAGTGCCAGATGATGCGAAAGGCACAAGTTGGAGGTCAACTTATGCTTGGTGCATGGTCCATTGTATGAGCTCTTTCAAAGAAACAGTCACAAAAATTGGACCAATGCATCTTCTGTCTGCTTGGTGTATACGGATTCACCAGGGAAGTGCAGAAATCCGCTCAGCCCAAGCAATGGAAGCCCTATCCGGATGTGTAAATCAATGGAATTTGCTGGTTGCCTCATTGTTGCAGGGCAAGGCCTCGAATCCTCGATTCAAACCACAAGCAAATTCAAAGGGCTGTCACATGAGCCATCTGTCCTTCTTTCGCTTCTTGCTAGCCTTGCTGCAAACACGGAATGCTTCTTCATTAAGCTTTGGATCACCTACTTGGAATTCCAAACTTCTGCTTGCAAAACTCTTAAACACCACGCAACACCCTTCAACCTTTCAGTGCAAACCCTAGCCTTCCTTGCCCCTCACTACCAAGAACACGTTACGCTTCCCCATCCGCACCTCTTCGCTTGGCTTGGCTTTGGTCGCCTTGGCCTTGTCGCCCTTGGTCTCCGTCTTCGCTTCGGGAGCCTTTGCCTATGGAAGTTTCCGAGACGGTGTCGCCCGAGCTAAGCCATGAGAATAGTAGAGTCAAAACCGTTTTCTAAATAGAGACCTTAGTAGTCTTGGCCCGCGTTGCTCCTTGCCATCTTGCAAAAGAAAAACACGTTCTTCACAAATTGAACAAAAGCAATGTTCCGATATCAGAAGGCATCAAATAGCCATGTCCTCTACAGTATGCCAAAGCTATGGAAGTAGCCATGCGGTGCACAGAGTTCCAATGCATTGAAGGACATTGAAAGGCCTTGGTGTCCTTCTTCACCACTGGCTTCTCCTTCTCCTTCTCATCCACCTTTGGCTTCACCACCTTCTTCTCGGTTGCCTTCCTGATGAGCTGCAATGGCAGGGGTGCGAGCGCGCAGCATGAGCCAAGGCGACATGTCCGACATGTCATTTCCCGAATTCAGCTAGTAGCAGCTAGGATGCTTCTCGGGCTTCTCATCCTTTTTATCAACCTTGGCAGCTGGCTTCTCTGCCTCTCCAAACAACAAACAACGGAAGCGGCAGGCAACAACACCAATGTAAAGGGGCTGAAGCGCAACCAAGAATGAAGGAGTGAATGAAGGGTGTCCTTCGCAGGTGTCTTTGCTGGTGCTGCCTCTTTTTTCTTTACTTCCTCCAGACAGCTTGGTTTGAGCTCTGTCATATCCCTGCTACTCGCCCCTTCTGCCCAACCCAAAAGGCCAAAAGGAAACGTAAAATCTCAAACGCAGGACCTGAGCCAATCGTGTCCAGCAGTCCTTCTTTTTCACTTCCTTGCTTTGAGACTTTGCAGTCTCACCCATGGCAAAGGCTATCACTTTGCCAGATGTTGGATTTTGTTGTATGCTTGGTGACTGGCTCTTAAGTGACTGTATGGTTCTATCACAGCTTTGTTGTGGGGCTTTCAAGCTTTTTTGCTTTTTTGCATCGAGAATGCAAGGTCTTCATGACGTGACTTGACAATGATGTGAAGTTCTCAAGGGATTCCATGGCAACCCTTGCACTACAATGGCAGCTGCAAGAACCAAAGATCATCAACATCCAAACGAAAGTGGTCTTGGCATGCCAATATTCTTTCGCAAACGGAACAAACTTGGCAGATGAAAGGCTGGCGTTAAGAGCCGCTGATCTGATAAGTCTACTATGGCCCGACGCCCCAAGACAACAGCTAAATCGAAAAATGACTGTCTGCAAAGCCTCTGTTGCAGCTATCATGATCGGGATGATGCCACTGCCACCTGTTAGAGCATGTGATTCGGTGGCAAGCCAGTGAGATAGGTTCCAGATTCCATTGTTGAACTGCTTCTCATGAGTCATCAAATGTGCACATCTCCAGAATCATTCCAATCAAACTCAGTATACATATAATCAATATCAGTATACATACCCTGAGGTTCAAAGACGAAAGCTTATCAAAAACATGACAAACGGATCCAGCAGCAGCTCCCACCCCACCCACCAGGCCTCTCTTGTGACCTTCATCCACCACAACAAATCTACGCACATTTCTAAGCACAACTGTTTGGCCCAATGCATCGGGGCAAGCAGTCGTCGTCTGTGACAAAGAGCGTCCCTTTCGCTGATTTTGGTACGTTTCCCATGGTTGCAAGAACAACATTCGAGGTCTGAGACATTACAAACCAAGGCGACCGAGTCAAGTGATTTACAGAACCTCCCATCTTTCTTGTTAGTGTTGATTTCTTGAGCATTACAAAAACTGTGTGTGTGTGTGGGGGCTGATCTTGACCGTTGACAACAACGGCTCCGGCGTCTTGAACGTGCATTCACAGCTTCTTCCGCCTCTGAGCAAACGGTGAAACTACATTTTGGTGCTGTGGACCTGGCTCCGCTTTGAGCTGCAAGGTCGCTTCAATATGTTTTCAACTATAGCTGTTGGGCTCGCCGCCCAATCGGTTCTACGAGCCTGCCGACGTCCAGCAAAAGCCATGTTCGGCCTCTGCCAACGTCAACGGCTTTAAAGTGCCGTGCGGCAATTTGCCTGCACAAAACACATCTAAGGTAACAATAAGTTGCAGTAAGTTGTTCATTAGACTGCATTCATTTGGGTTGCTGAGCCAGTACGCCTGTCATTCTGGCGTATCTGGGCTCAGGGGATGAAGAAGACGTAGACAGGGAAGGGGAAACCATCCAAAGCGTGCCGCTCCCATCGACAGCCTTGCCCAAGAGGCTTACCGGTGCGAGGGTGGATTGGCGCCTGACGTTGATACTCCACACCATCAATGAGAATCGTTCCGGTGCCCCATCCATCAGGTCTGCCATTCTTGAAGGACTCCCTCGGATCCATGCTCCAGGGAGATGTACGAAACACTCGCAGTTGACGAAAAACTCACACATTGGCGCCTGCTTGGTTGCAAAATTCCAAGACAACAAAAGGTTACACATAAATGCCGAAGATTCGGGGGCTGTCCATGCAGTGCTGCCTGTTCGTCACTGAGCTCTGATGACCCAGCATTGTACTTGTCCACCCAATCCTGGAACAGCATTGTAGGCCACTATCCACTCCCACTCTAGACAACCTCCCCTCTCCCTCAAAATTGTTGGCAGGTACCACAGCCTGAAACTTATGACAGGTATTGTGTACCAAATCAGCTGAGATGGCACCAAACAATCGTAATCAACAACGTATCAAAGGTCTGCTATATCTCTAAGAGTCTGGATAATAAATGTTGGAGACTGCACAGCAAATCACCGCCCCTTCAGAATGCTTCTTCTGCACTAGCCGGAGCCATTCACAGCACCAGCCTTTGCAGGACTCACTGGGATGAAGGATGCTGAGTGAGTGATAGTCAAAGCTCAAAGAGAAAAGGATATGATATGTCCTAATGAGTTTACTACTAGAAAACAAAAGCATAGATCCTTGTGCAAAAGACTTTTCAATGTTCATCCAGGGACAAGGGTACTTGGCTTTCACCTTTGGTTCACTATCTCCTTTCTGAGATTCGACCTGTGTGTTCCACATGCCAGAGCGCTCTGCTGGGACAGGAATGTTGTCACGACCACAAGGTTCTGATGGGTGTGTCCACTTACCATCGTCAGCATAAGCACCGAAGACTTCAGTGTCTCCAAACCAAACGGTGGCAGTACCTGGCAGTTTGGATGGGGATGAGAGGTCAGGATCTATCCATTTCCCAAATCATATAATATATGTTAATACTATGCAGTGATTCTATCTTGAATATCTACGCTTGAATCGTGTTTTCGAGTCTGGTGACCTTCTTTTCCCTGCGACTCTGTCAGCTTCTTCATCACTTCTTCATAAGCGGTCCCACCAGGTACTGATGCCCCTGTGGCCAAGAAGAACTGCGTCATACCGTAGAAGCAAGTGGCGCTTTTGTAGAATGTGAAGACTAAACCAGTCCCGGCTTTCTGCTTGCAAATCTGAACGAGCTCTTCATCCTTCTGGAAGTGCTCCATGCAGCCCAGCCTGAGGAGCCATGCTGCGCGTGTTTTCTCCACCAACTCGATGACGAAGTCTCGGTCCTTCCGAAGCTCTTCTGAAGCAAATTGTACGGCACAACCGTGTTGTGAGACAGCTAATAGGACCACGTCCCTATCGTTCCGCAGCTCTCTATCTGCGTGTTCCAAAGCCACACCATTCGATTTTACAGCCATCAATACCACATCCTTATCTCCCTGCATCTCATTGGAAGCAAACTGTAATGCACTACCATTTTGGGCCACAGCCGCCAAGACCACCTCCTTCACTCCTTGCAGATCCTTGCTAGCAAATTTTAAGGCACTACCATTCTGGGTCACAGCCGCCAAGACTACCTCCTTCTCTCCCTGCATCGCTTTGGAAGCAAACTGTAATGCAGTACCATTTTGGGCCACAGCCGCGAAGACTACCTCCTTCACTCCTTGCAGATCCTTGCTAGCAAATGTTAAGGCTGTGCCGTTCTTTGAAACTGCCTTGAGAACAAAGTCCTTTGTCTCACACAGCTCCGAAGCTGCATGTTGCAGTGCAAAAGCGTCCTGGGCCACAGCTGCCAAGACCACATCGTGTTCTTGTTGCAGCTCCTTGGCAGCATGCTTCAGGGCGAGACCATTCTTTGCTATCGCTGCCAAGACCACATCCTTGTCTCCCTGTAGCTTCTCAGAAGCAATCTCAAGGGCTACTAAACCATCCTGTTTGACTGCTGCCAGCAAAACCTCCTTGTCGCCTCGAAGTTCTTCGGCAGCAAACTGTAAGATAGAGGAATCTTTCACCACCAGTTCCGTAACGAAGCTCTTGTTTTTCTTTAGCTCCTCTGCAGCGTGCTGGAAAGCACTTGGATCTTTTTCCACAGCTGCCCTAACCACAGTCTCGTCTCGCCGTAGCTCTTCACAAGCAAACTGCAAGGAGGAGGGATTGTTCTGCACCAAATTCAGAACGAAGGCCTTGTCTTTTGTTAGCTCCTCCGCAGCAAATCTCATGTTGCGAGGTCTTTTCTTAACAGCTGCCAAAACCAGATCCTCATCTCCGCATAGCTCTTGGTCAACATACTCTAGGACGGACGGATCTCGCTCCACCAATTTCTTGATGAAGCCCTTGTCTTTCTGTAGCTTTTTGGAGGCATGCTGCAAGGCTGTCACGTCGGCTTTTATGGCAACCTCAACCACCTCTTCGTCTCCCTGTAGCTCTTCTGCAGCAAGTGACAAGGCACCTCCACAGTTTGTCACAGCTTCAAGGACAATTGGCTTGTCCTTCTTCAGGCTCTGATGCGCATGTCTCAATGCCAAACCATTTTGTCGAACGGCCGTGAGAACCACCTCCTTATCTCCCCGAAAGTCTTTTGTCTTATCGAGTGGATGAAAGGCAAACTGCAGAGCCCTACCATCAAGTTGCACAGCCTCCATAACAAAATCGATGTCTTCGCGCAAAGACTTGGCCGCGTGCTTTAAGGCCTCACCTTTCTCCTTGACAGCTGCCAAAACCACTGCCTTATCTCCCTGTAGCTCTTCGGCAAATTCCAAGACAGATGAATCCTTCGCCACCAGGGTCAGAATGAAATGCTTGTTTTTCCGTAGCTCCTCCGCAGCATACCTTAAAGAACTTGGATCCTTTTCCACTGCCACCCTAACCACACTCTCGTCTCCCTGACGCTCTTTGGCAGCATACTTAAGAGCGGGGGGACATTTTGCCACCGCTTCCAGAATGAAGCCCTCGTCTTTCTGTAGATCTGGCGCATGTTGCAAGGCGCTGCTATCTTTGCTAAGAGCTGTCAGAACAACCTCTGGATTTTGGCGCAGCTGTTTGTTGGCATACTGTAGAGCCGAGCCGTTTTTCCTGACTGCTGCCATCACAATGTCTTTATCTTGCAGCGAGGCTTCGGCATACTGCAAGATTGAGGGTCTTCTCCCCACCACTTGCAGGATGAAGCCTCGATCTTGCTGTAGCTCCAAAGAAGCATGTTGCAAGGCCTTTGGCTCTGCGGTCACAGCAGCAGAAACCACATCTGGGTCTCCACGGCACTCCGTCACAAACTCCAAGGCGAAAGGGGCCAGCTCAACAACTTCCTTGATGAACCTCTTTTTGTTTTGGAGGTCTTCTGCAGCGTACTGCAAGGCACACGGATCATTTCCCACAGCTTCAAGCACAACTTCCTCGTCCTGCTTCAAGGTGTATGACACGTACTGCAACGCTGTGCCTTTCAATTTCACAGCTTCGAGCACAGACTGTTTCCTTCCTTTTACTTTCTCACCAGCATATTGGAATGCGCGTACGTCCTGTGCCAAGGCTTCAAGCACAACATCTCCGTCGCCCCGCAACTCCTCGTCTGCATATTGCAAAGCCAGTCCATTGGTGGCCACGACCTTTCGGACGAATTGTTTGTCTTTTTTGAGCTCTGCGGCGGCATGTTCGAAGGCCGAAGCATTCCGCTGTACAGCGGCCAGAACCACGTCCTTGTTCTGTCGCATCCCCAGCACAGCAAACTTAAAAGCAAGACCATCTTTCTTTACAGCTTCCAGCACTACCTGCTGGTCTAGATGCAAGACCTTGCCTGCATGCTGCAGCACCTTAGCATCCAGCTGTATGGCCCTCAAGACAAAAACCCTGTCTATTTTCAGCTCATGTGCAGCATGCTTGAAGGCATGGCCATCCCCCTTGACTGCAGCCAAAACGACTTCCTGATTTTTCTGTAGCTTTTCCGTGGCAAACTGTAGAGCTGAGCCGTTTTGCTTCACCACCTTCAACATAAAGTCCTCATCTTCCAGTAGTTCTACGTCAGCAAACTCTACGATGGAGTCATTTCTCCCCATCATCTCCAGAACAAAGTCTTTGTCTCGCTTTAGCTTCTCCGCGGCATATGTAAAAACCCTCTTGTCTACTTCCACAGCATCTGCGATCAGTTTCCTATCCTGGCGTAGCTCTGGGGCAGCAAACTTCAAGGTCATGGGATCTGCTCGCACCGCCTCGAACACAAAGTCTCTATCGCGCTGCAGGTTCTTAGCATACTGCAAGATTGAGGGTCTTCTCCCCACCACTTGCAGGATGAAGCCCCGATCTTGCTGTAGCTCCAAAGAAGCATGTTGCAAGGCCTTTGGCTCTGCGGTCACAGCAGCAGAAACCACATCTGGGTCTCCACGCCACTCTGCGTCAGCAAACTCTAAGGCCAAAGGGGCCAGCTCAACAACTTGCTTGATGAACTTCTTGTTTCTTTGGAGGTCTTCTGCAGCGTATTGCAAGGCACACGGACAACTTCTCACAGCTTCAAGCACACAGTCCGTGTTTTGCTTCAAGGTGTCAGATGCGTACTGCAATGCTTCACCATTCTGTGCCACAGCTTTCGAGACCACTTCCCTGTCGCTCTGAAAGTTTTCTTTCTTGGAAACGAACTTCAAGGCATTTCCATTCAGTGCTACAGCTTCCAACACAAAGCTTTTGTCGCTTCGTAGCTTCTCATCAGCATGTTGGAATGCATGTCCGTTGGCCCGTACGGCTGCACGCACAATCTCTTCGGCTGATCGCATTTCTGGGGCTGTATATTGTAACGCAAGACCCTCTCGCTCTACAGCTTGTAGGACAAATTCTTTGTTCTCACGTAGCTCTTTCACCGCAAACTTCAGAGCAACCGGGTTCTTTGCCACAGAGTCCAGAACAACATCTTTATCTTTCAGCAACTCGAAAACACCACTCTGCAAAATGGCTGGATTTTGTTCTGCGAGCTCCGCAATGAAGCCTTTATCTTGCTTTAGCTCCTCTGCAGCATATAGTAGCGCGCTTGTGTCACTTGTGTCTCCTTTCAAAGCAGCCTTAACCACCTCCCTGTCTCCTTGTAGCTCTTCAGCGGCAAACCTCAAGCTGGTGGGTTCCAGTGCCACCATTTCCAAAATGAAGCTTCTCTCTTGCCGTAGTTCCTCAGAAGCATACTGCAGCGCTCGCCCGTCCTTGCTTGTAGCTGTGCGCACAATGTCCTTCTCTGCTCGCAACTCATGGGAAGCATGCTGCAGGGCCAGCGGGTCTTGGGTCACGGCTGCAAAGACGACATCTCTGTTTGATTTCAACTCCTGCGAGGCAAACTGCAAGGAGTATCCATTTTGTTCCACAGCTTTCATGACCACACGCTTGACCTCCCACATATCATCGGTCACTGTCTCACAATTTGCAAGCTTGCAAGCGGCTGCCAAGTTGAGATCCTTTTCTTGGCGAAGTTCGTCTGAAGCATGCTGCAATGCGAAGCCGTCAAGCGCTATAGCTTTCCGAATGAATGTTGTCTTTTCTCTCAGCTCTTTGGGAGCGTTTTGCAACGCACGGACATCCTTCTTTACAGCCTCCAGCCACACGTCTTCATCCATCCGAAGCTTCTCAGCAGCAAAAGAAAAAATGAAAGGATCTTCCGACAAAGTCTGGGCCTCCAAAACAAAGTCTTTATCATCCCGAAAGGTCTCAGCAGCATGTTGTAAGGCACCAGTGTTTTTGCTGACAGCCTCTAGAACAAATGCCCTATTGTCTTGTAACTCCTTTGCAGCAAATTGCAAAGCAAATGGATCTTCGGTTACAGCTGCAAGGACAATATCCTTGTCGCTCCATAACCGCTCTGCAGCTTCTGCAAATTTATCCGGTGTCCGGGCTGCCAGTGCCACAGCTGCCAAAATGATGTCCTTGCTCGGCCACTTCTTGGCCTGCGGAGCTTGCAACACACAACTAAACTTGTTGGTGACTGCCTTTGACATCAACCAGTGTCTGACAACCAATTCCCCGTGAATACATGCAAAGCATGCTCAGCAAAGCTCGATGAACAAGCTGACCAAATACCCGTTATATTAATACCCCAACCAAGGAGTGATTCTTACAAATGAATCTGCTCAACAGGAGCACAAGGCCGAATTAGCGTTTGAGGGCTCAAAGGGTGATGCCGGTACCCTGGAGGACGAATGAATGAATAAACGATGAAACGATATGAAACGTTGTACTCGAGTGAATCGAAGAGGGTGTCTAGAGTCATCATGGGTCGTGATTAAGGTTCACACCACGATACACCTTGACATTGGGCGGATGCTGTTTCGCTGCTCTTTGACAAATTAGTATATATGCCCCCCATGGCACCTTAGGCACAAGCGCGGTACAAAGCACCCAATTCATGGAGAAAGCAGCCATTGAAACATAGTCAGAATCATATTGATTATTGAAACCGAGGGCGGATGACCCATGGTTGTTTAAATGGCGGCCTTGGGAATCAGAGCGGTGTCTGGAGACCTTTGATGACAAATTGTTTGTCGGATTTGGTAGACATTCTCTGTTTCCATTTAAATTTGTCATAATTTGTCTGTGTTCTGAGAATATAGCATCATGTGGGCGCTGACGTTGCAGAAGGTGATCATGATTTGGAACTTTACAGCGATGCGCTGCCAACTGCTGGGACTGATGGTTTGCAGGCTTGCGGACTTTGCACCGCTTGGAAGCACTTGATCCGGATGCAATGGAATTGCAACAGGCTGACAGTTGTGAGTTGGCAATGAGATCAGAGAGTATAGCATGGAGAAGCAATTTGCAGGAACTGAGAGCATGTGTGTAGATTGCTGGATGAGAGAGCCACAAGTTTCCCGGCAATTGCGTTTGTCTCATTGTTAGTATTACTTGAACTCTAGCGTGCTTGTATGGTTGCCTGCCTGCTTGCCTGCCTGCTTGCTTGCTTGCTTGCTTGCTCTCTTGCTTGCTCTCTTGCCTGCCTGCCTGCCTGCCTGCCTGCTTGCTTGCTTGCTTGCTTGCTCTCTTGCTTGCTCTCTTGCTCTCTTGCTCTCTTGCCTGCCTGCCTGCCTGCCTGCCTGCCTTGCTTGCCTGCCTGCCTGCCTGCCTTGCTTGCCTGCCTGCTTGCTTGCACGCCTGCCTGCCTGCCTGCCTGCCTTGCTTGCCTGCCTGCCTGCCTGCGTGCGTGCGTGCTTGCTTGCTTGCTTGCTTTCTTGCTCGCTTCCCACATTTCTTGGCTTGCTTGTTCATGCTTAGTTTGGCTGGAAAGCTGGAGGGGGGTGGGACAAGAGTACAGTCTCCCGAAATGCAAAGCCAAGCAGCCAAACAAAACTTGTCTGGTAAGTCATGTTTAATTACTGGGTATTCTCTTGTGCCCTGTTTTCCTTTCTTGCCCGTAGTTTGCTTGCTTGTGCTTTGGTTATTTGGGGTTTTGCCTGGGAAGCCGGAGGAGGTGTGGAGGACCAAATTCTCCAGCAAGCACAAATAACGACGCAAACATATTCGGGTTGACATGCAAAGTCCATGCGTGATGGCTAATATAAAATGGAACTGAGCGGTGATGAATCCACGTGCAAGTAACTTGGACAGGACCAGTCTGAATTTCAACACAGGTACTGCGAAGTTAAAGCCAATACAAACACAACTTCAAACAAACACGTGTGTTAACACGACCGCAAGAGTTTGCATCGGTCATCGATGCAAAGACCGGAGCGTGCAAAGCTGCAAAGCTAAACTTATGTTGAACGGTTTCATCGCGGGTCTAGAATATTGCTTGCTCGTTACTTCGCCACATGGAAAGGCCACTGGGCTGCAAGTCTGAAGCCGGGCCATAGGGTGATGAAGCGGGCGGGTGGTTCTTCGCTTCGGCACTGACCGATCACCGATAGTGTAATTCAAGCAAGACTTTAGATGAAATCAAAGCGAAAAAGCTACCAGGACCCCATGACTAAGGCTGGTTGTCAGTGGTGTAGCTTGTTTTTCCGAAATCAACAAGCTGGGGCTCAGCCACTCCAACATTTGGTTGCCAAAGACCCCACAGAAGCATGAACTTCGACAAGGCCAGCCTTTGGGAAAATCTGAGGCTCTGCACCGACTGGTTAAAATCTTTGGATTATCGGATAACATCTTTTGGATTATATTGGATTGGGAAGGGGCCCCTTCAGGAGGGCAAGCAAGCACTTGCTCACATGTTCTGTGAAGCTTTTCTGCAGCGTGTTCGTTTTGAAATGAATCTCGGAGTAGTAGAGCCAAGTGAGCTCCGTCAACAATGTCAGCATTCACCGGTCTGGTGAGCATCCTTACACGGAACCTTACGCCTGTTCATGAAATCAGGCTTTGGCTTACTTGGACTTAGGCAATCCAAAGCATTATAAGTAGAGCTTTGCCTCAGACATGCAGCGGAAGCTTGCAAACATTCATTGATCAATTCTTGTGGGGAGGAACTTGAAAACATGGGTGGAATTTGACAAAGACATTGACATTCTGCAGCACTTTCGGCACGCAAGCAAAGGTATATGGCAAACATGGAAGACGTTGACATTGACTGTTGTTTGTGCAGGGCACCGCTGCTGTCACGTGCAAATCCAGGAAAGGTTTTACAAGAAGCGACATGTGCATCCACTCAGATTTGCGAACCGTGTTTCCGCTATGCATCAGAATGCTTCTGGTCTTGTTCTTGTCTTGTATTCTGCTGGACAACGTTCACAAATTACGTACAGTACATCATCACCTTTTTGTCTTGAGGATGTGACTCAGAGCACGGTGGCAAGTCTTCAAACCCACCCTTAAACATGATTCTATCCATGACCAACGCGAGACATGCAGTTGTTTACTCATGCATGTGTTCCCCAAATATGCTTAAGCAACCTTATGCAACTCAGAACTTCGCAAGGTTTGTTTCTGCATACAAATTATTTGATCGCACTTATGCCAGTCCAACCCTTTACCAAACATTGTAGTGCAAGGTATTGGACCAACTCAAGTAGAGCTTTTGAGTGAAAAGTATGGACTTGACTAGTCAAGAGTCAAAGAAGAGGTGTTGTTTTGGACAGGCTAAGGCCTAGCAGCAAAAACAAAGTCGCAGCGAACATAGAGAACGTACTGATAAAAGCATCCAGCTAGCTAGTGCATGGGGTCTTCAAGCTGTGTGCCGGATTCTCGTGGAATGGTCAGGAGTTCATAACCCTGATGCAAACACGACACATACACATTGCATGCGAAGCTCAGCATATAAAAAGAATGGTCCCAGTTGAACCACACAAACCTACACGCGCATGACGGGTGAGCTACCAACCCCCGTCTCTTCTAGTTGCAGCCTCACACTCAACCTCCGAGCATAGTAAGGATCAATTCCACAAACATAGTAACAATAGTCAATGTCAACGTTGCATTGCTCGATGCTCATCTATTGAAGCTAAGCAGCAAGCTCATGTAAGGGCACAAACAGGGGTTGCGTGCAAGCTCATCCAAACTCACTTACTTATATATAGTTATAATATGTTATGTTTTTGATTGGAGATCGTATCATACTTGATGACCATCCGAACCTTAAGACTTCGCTCTTTCTGCTCAGCCTGCATCAGCCAAGTGCAGAAACCAAATCACGGACTGGACCCGTCGCAAACATCTGCTAAGCGTGTGTAACACATCTGCAGTGCGTCTGCAAAGCTGTGATCTCGCGCCATTTACACTGGCCTCTTGCAAATCCTTTTCCAGCGTTATAGTCCTCTGGCTCACTTCATCTAATTTCGCCTTGCCGCGGAAGTGAACTGCTGCAAACCTCAACGCTACTGTCCCATCCAAACCCACGTTGGCACCAGCCTGCCAGGCTCTTGCTTCCTCTTCAGCCTAAATTGGGGAAACAATTTTGCCGGCTCATCCAGCAAAGCATGGCTCACGTTTCGGAAGTCAATCTGGCATAACGCTGGCCTTCTTCACTTCTTGGTGCAAGTTGTCTCTTGTCACCTCACCCGAAAGAAACAACCACAGTTTTGACACCCAAAAGGAGCAATATGTCTGCACAGCAACCCGGTGAACATATACAACACCACCCGACATGAAAGCGATTTATTTTGCAACGTTAGCTTGATCTCACACAGCATTTGAGTGTGACACAAACGGGAAGATTGCACAAAATTGTTCAGCTGTCCACCCACTTCACACATTGTATGATATGCACCGGAGTACATTCTGGCTCTGCACTGGATTCTGCGCTGTCCCCCGTGACCCTGTACTCAAGGTTTTTCCAAACGGTCGACGCAGCCGAATGTGAAATTGGGTGTCGCGTGCAGCGGGCAAACAACAAGTAGCTAGTAGCTAGTGCAGGGCAAAGTTCCCTGTTGCAACACAAACACACACACTCTGACATTGGTACTCAAGTTACACTCAGCTCTCAAGTCCAAAATGGTGAGGGAACGGAAAGGCGCAAATTCGGCTCAAATTGAATGTTTAACATAGTTTGTTGCGTGACTGCGGAAGAGCGCGCGCGGCGGCCGCTGCTGGGGAAGAGTAGGTTTTTGGGGAAGTATCATGAAAGACCATGGAAACAAAAAGAGCAAATTGGACAGCGTGTTCAACAGTTCCAAATTGTTGCAGGTACACACGGGTGATCAATCCATGCTTCCCACTCCAAGGCATAGCTTCGTTGCAGTGAGTTTGCCAAGGAGTGCTCAGTGCCCCTGCGACATAGTTGTTGAAAGGTGAAACGGTGGAAACGGTGGAAACTGTGGTAGACCCTTCGGTACAGGGTGGGACACACACAACTCGCCGTGGTCGGCGCTTTTTTGCTGTTTCAAAAATCTGCTGCAAGCGGTGGGATTGTGTCCTTTTTGGACATAGAGTTGCACTAACTCAGTGGCAGCAGCGCCAGCGCTCGAAGGTGGATAGGTGTATTTGTGGATGGTGTGTACGCGTGATTGGAGGCCTGACAAAGCCAAGCGCTGGCTTCCGGCGCTGGTTGCATCCCTGATCTTCCAGGGTTGGGAGGGTTGAATGTAGGTGATGGTGCGTTGCGGGAGGTCTATGTTGAAGCCCAGGAGATGAAAGTCCTCAACTGGTTCCAGTTCGACTGGGTCTCCAAAGAAGTTGTGGTGGATGAGGGTTTGAATGGCTGGATGTTGTAGAAAGTGTTCGTTGTGAACAATGAATCTGTTGTCGACATATCGGTAGTATGCAAAGTGCAAATCGGTGTGTTGTAATAGGTTGTTGTGAATCTGGTGCCACGAGTGTTCGATGAGTGTGATGGCAACATTGCAAAGGGCTGGAGACAGCTGGGATCCAATCCCGGCGCCTCGCACTTGTTTGTAGGTGTTGTTGCATGCCCGGAAAATGCAGGTGTCCAGTGCGTACCTGACAATGGTGGTGATGTCGGAAGTGTGTAGGGTGCGCTGGGTGGGATGCTTTTGGTGGTGTCGACCAATATGGGAGTGGTGGAAGGGGTTGCCGGTCGCCTTGATGTCGACCGTAAGGGTGTGTGTGTGGTTTGTTGTGCTTGCCAATGGAGGATCATAGAGTGGACTGCGTCGATGAGACGATGCTGCGGAACAGAGTTGAAAAAGCTCACCAGGTCATCGTTGGTGGCGTGTAGTGAAATGTCGGAGGGGGTTTGGGTGAGGTAGCAGTGGAAATGGCGCCAAAGTTGGGGGATGGAGAGCTGCCCGGGGTGTTGTGGGTAGAGATGTTGTAGAATGATGTCCAAGGCACGACTGGTAATGCGGAGCAAGTTGCCGCTGAGTGATTGGAAGTAAGAGATAATAGTGCGTCCTTTGTGCCAATGCTTCTTCTCTTTGAGGTGGACAACTCCGTAGGGGATGGTGAATGTTTTCCGAAAGCCCCATTTGTAGCGGGTTCGTAGCGTGGGGGGGATGGTGGCTTGAAGGTAATCATGGATGTTGGCAGCTGTAATGTGTGGTAGGGGTTCGAAGAGTTCGGGGGACTGCCATGTGTTGAGTGCACCAGTGAAGTACTGGCGAGGGCAAAACAATCGGAGTTGTTGTAGTTCGTGGTCGGCATGGTGAGTACTGTATGTGGACCGAGATGCTCTTGAAGCTGGCGGAGTAGGCGGGCGGTGAATCTGGGGTGGTGTTTTAAGTGGTTGTTGTGGAGGCGCCATTGGTGTTGGAGAAAAGGCTCCAAATGTTGCGCAAGGGATGGTGGGAGCCCTTGAAGTTTGAGCCATCTTGTGTAGGCTGTTTGGAAGGTGAGGAAGTATCGTGCTTTGCTGGGGTAGTAAGTGCTGTTCATGTTGGCGTTGAGAAAGATTTTGAGGTGTGGTGGTAGATTCACTGAGACTAAGCAGTGGGTCAGATTGCAAGTGGTTTGATGTAGCAATGGTTTTTTCAATGAAAAAAATAAAAATAAATAAAAAAAATGAAATAAATATTAAAAAATGAAATAAATATAAAAAGAATGAAATAAATATAAAACAAATGAAATTAAAATAAAAAAAATGAAATAAATATCAAAAAAATCATTTTAAATCATTTTAAATCAAAAAAAATCTTTTTAAATCTTTAAAATCTTAAAAAATCTTAAAAAATCTCAAAATATCTCAAATCATCTCACAAGCCGGGGTTCGTGGTAAAGGTTTCGGAATTACAAAGTAATTTTCCAGGAGCAAAATCTTAAAATATCTCAAAATATCTCAAATCATCTTTTAAAATCTTAAAAATGAAAAAAATATGAAAAAATGAAAAATATGAAAAAATCTGAAAAATATGAAAAAATATGAAAAAAATAAAACAAAATTAAAAAAACATAGAAATATATGCAAAAACACTCTCGTGGTGAGCGTTGTCTGACAGGAACAGTCTGAGATTCTGCAGACTGTTGTGGTCTCAGACGCTTGCTTGCTTGTGGCAAGTGTGTTCAAAAAAGAACAAATTGTTGTTGTCACACATGATCAATTGTGCATCAATGGGCTGCTGAAAATAGAAAAACCTCGTTTTTTATTGTTTTCTGTTTTTTTCTGTTGTTTTTTGTGTTTTTCTGTGTTTTTCAGTGTTTTTCTGTGTTTTTCTGTGTTTTTTTTGATTTTTTCTGTTTTTTTCTGTAAAAAACCATGTGCGATCCAACCCTTGCAGATCTGACCCACTGCTTAGTCTCAGTGATAGATGAAGTTGGTCCAAGGTCAGGATGTAGTGGCCGTTGGTTGTCGGTGTGTCTGGATCATGGAGGATGGTGCGCAGGTGGTTGCAGGCGCAAGGTAGGTCGGTCGGATCTGGGGGTGAGCTGAGAGTGTCTTCCCAGGTGCGGTGGTTGTGAAGTTGGGATCGAAGGCTGCTTCCCGTAATCGATGAGACGGGAGATGGAGTGGGATGGCCAAATGCTTGTGCTGTTGGATCGTTGTGCGGAGCCATTGTTGGCAGTGTGTTGTAAAATCGTCGTGCGCCAAGAATGGAACTGTCAGTGGGATGTTCGGCTTGGGTGGTGTGAGATTGCGGTAAAGGAGAGCTTTGTTGATGATGTGCAGGGCTCGACTGCGACCGGGTTCTTCGAGATTGGCAGCCATGCGTCGGATGGCGTATACTTCAAGGTCTGTGTGACGGCCACTGCGTAGTTGCTTGGCGGCTTCAAAGGATGCTGCGGTGTGCTTGGTGAGATCCCGGAGTAGTGTCAAAGCGTGGTGTTTGGTGGATGTGTACAAATGGGGTTCCCGGAGGGTTTTTTGTCGCAGTCGTAAACGTCGAAATAGACGTTTGTGTGTGGCTAGTCGGGAGTAGAAATGCGCCCGATGTTTTGTGAATTGCCAGCCCTGTGCTTTGAGTTTTAGGTGGTGGGAGATAAAGGGCCAGTTGAGTGTGGGCATCCAGTTGGCAATGTGCTGGTGTTCTTGGATCCATGCTTGGTCGTAGGTGTCGTGTGAGGAGAGCTGGATGGTAGTGTAGTGATGGATGTTGTTGTGGTTGTGCCAATATCGTAGTGAGAGTTCTGCTGAGATGGGAATGTTATTCTGGAGTTGCTTGAGTTTCGCTCGGCGGTTGTGTTCGCGGTGTGGTATGCCAATGGCGGTGGAGCCCACGTAGAAGTGGCCGTGTTGGTGGTAGCAGCGTTGTGGCGTGTGGGGGTTGAAGTGAAGTTTGACATAGACTGAGTTGTGAGAGAGGAAGTTGTGGTAGTGGTATGTATTGGGTAGAATGTGTAGGTGGCGAAAGCGGTTTCGCCATTGTTGGGATTTGTGGGTTGTGGATGGGTAGGCAAACAGAAGTGTGAGGTGGATCAGGCCAGTGGCAAAAATGGCCTCTGCGCGTTCAATGTATTGTGTGTGGTGGATCAGGATTGAGAGGGCTTGGTGGAGTTGGAAAAGTTGTTGCATAGTGTGGTGGCTGGGGTGCTGCTGGCTAATGAGTGCAAGTCAGCAGCCGATGGCCGCGCCGATGCTGACAAGCTGCTGGAGGCTACGGATGGGGAGACGATTGACTCGTCCTGATGGAAGTCCGTAGCGGGTAGCGGCATCCTTGAGTTGCTGGGTTGTCACTTTGCTGGTCTGCAGTAGACGCAAAACCTGGGTGGCGGATTCTTGTACGGTGGGATCGAAAGTGGTAACCCAGTGTTGGATGTCAGTATAGTTCCAACTTTCCGGGATGTCGTCCTGGAGGGAGGGGTGGGGTGCTCTTCACAGGTGTGAGAGGGTTGCCCAAGCTTTGGAGTTTCTGCTTGGCGCGGGCGAGCTCATCATTGGTGTTCTTGAGGGCTCGGAGGGCGGTGCCTTCCGCTGGAGCTGGTGAATGAGCTTGAAGTTGCTGGATAAGGAGGTTGATCAGAGGGGCGTGGAAAGCACGGGCTTGGGTGGTCTTGCTGGGAATGTCTGTACCCTGCTTGGTGTGAAGGGTTTCTGCGATGGCATCGAGGTCCAGTCGCTTTTCACGGAGGTCTTGAAGAAAATGGGTAACAAAGACAGATTCCGCAACGCTGCGAGTGGCTATGAAGCCCGTGTATTTCCCATGACTGAGAGTACGGGCGGTAAA